CGCGATAAATCAACAAAATATTTGTTTATTACCGATGGAAACACTTACATTTCTTTAATCATGATCCTCTTATCACACTCTCGAAATTGTTTTTTTTTTTATCGCTGCTTGCCTTTGTTGTGTTGTAATATTTTTTTATCTCGACACGTCTTTTCTCGTCATTTTGACGTGCGTATCGTCCGCACAATAAAGTACAATACTACACAATATTAACAACGTGGTATTAAGCTATGATAATTTTTTAGTCGATTTACTGCGAATCAAAGTTTGTTTTCGATTTCCACTTATATATTTTCATGTAGGTTGAACACTTGGTCCGAAATCATACTAATACGTATTATAAGTCATTACAGATGGCTTCCGCCAAATGTATACTTCATAATATCGTTTTTATCAATATTTAAACTTTGAGATAGTCCTCTTTTTCATACGAAATGTAAAAGAACGGTTTGTGAATTAATTTATAAATTTTCTGAAAAAATTATGCTAAACTGCTATTAATTGTGATTTTCGTTTGTCAGCAAAAGTATGTGTGGCCATCCAAGGCAGCTATAATTATTTACAAAAAAATAAGACCGATTTTGAATAGACTAGTTGGAAAAATGTTAACTGCCGACACACGCTGTATAATATTATATTGTTTTTCTAATCATCAGTTTTCTAGTATTACATATAGATATATATATATATATATATATATAAACCGATAACAAGCGTACGCCAACGCTTTTAACGCGTTTTGCGCCGTACGCGATTTATACTTTGTTCCTATTTTAGATTCTCATCGTTTATGGCTTATAGTTTTGTTTGACGAATCGTCATTATTATTAATATGTTTCAATATTCGTCAATGTTATGAAATATGATTACTCTGAAAGAATCTGACTGACAATGTGCTTATCTGAGGTCAGTTCAAGAAAAGGTCAGGACAAACGCGTTGTTGTTGAGTGTATAACATATGTGTATTATACCCCAATTATCTGTATGCGTATGCGTACACTTGATATTTTTTAACATGATTAATAATTATATCGGTTTATTCATAATAGTTAATACGGAACACATTGTAATTCTATAATACCTATGTATTTTTGACAGCCGATTAAAGTCCGAAAAAGTTACCAAACACACACACGGTCCGTATTGGTTCTGGAGAAACGATCCACTTCCAAATATGACTTATAGAAAACAGTAAATAATAATCATAATAATTTTTCATGGCTCTTTTGTGCTTCATTTCGTCTGTGTTTAACCATTATCCATTATCACAATATATTTCCAATATGTTTATGATGCATTTTTACATTTTATTTTTTTTTCCAAGCTTTTAAATAAACTATTAAAACATTAAAATGTTATAATATTATCAAACAATGATAATATTTTTCTAATAAAACTGTAAAAATGTTTTCATGAACAAATAATATACTTCTAAATATTGTGTATATAGACTTTAATACACTACCTATAACTTTTTGGTTGTTGTGAATCCAATAAATATTTGAATAACGCTATTAAACCAACGGCGGAAGTTTGGAAGCAGAGTATTTCATTTCCATTTTCCTCGTTGATTAAAACTTAATCAAATAGCTCTGTTGACTTATTGATGTATTGAAAAATGAAAATACATAAATTGAAAATTAAATGTTTCTATTCTTTTTATCATATTTTTCTACATGTTAGATTAATATGTAGTTCATTCTAGTTAATAAATTACATGATCGTTGAAATAATACACTAACACGATGAATTAACCAAAAAATTTCATTCATTTTTATTTTGTATGGTAAATCATCAGGAGTAAGTATTTCATCTGATAACTATATTATTAAGAGAACGTTATACCCACAATGTTTTCGTCTTACAAGTTCACAAATCCATCAATTTAATACAAAGTATTAAATTATATTATTAATATAAATTGAACAATATATTTATTTATGTATACACTATACATATATATCACCTAAAGTAATATTTACAGTATTTAACTATAATTAATTTTACTGGAATACACTCGTGTACCTATATGCAACATTGGTGAAAACTTAGGGAAGGCGGTTATCCTATTGAGGGTTTTCAAGTTCCTCGTAAAACAATATACAAATTAATATTAATATTTAACTTATTAAAATTTAAAATTTTTCTAAAAAATGTATTAAGAATATTTTCATAGTATGATAAACACAAAACAAAATATATTGTTTTCTATATATTGGTTCAACAATCTACATTTGCTATTAATCACCACAAAACAATACGGATTTGATATAATATACCCATTAAATAATAATAAAAAAAATGTATTTTCGTAATGTTATCTGTTATAAATTGTAACGACGATTCATCATGTGAATCGAAAATATTTTTTTAATATTTAGGTATTTTAAAATGTTAGCTACCAATATCCCAATGACTGCATATTGAATTTTCACCGATGGAGTAAGTACACGGTACATTGCTTTGCACATCACAATTGTAATAACAAAAATAAAAAAAATGCAATGTATAAACGTTATGTTATACAAGCTTGTTGAAAACACTTTATACGTTGAAAACATTTATATGTGGCTTTCAGTACTAAAATTTGCATAAGTCTTTTTTGTTAGTTTTTAACTACTTGTTTATGACGGGTTAAATATTTTTTAAATGGATTGTAAATAAAATCAATGTACAAATGTCCATATAAATTAACGTTAAATAAAATTAAAGTATTTTAATGTCATGTATTTTAAAGTACTCAGAAAAAGTCGTTAAATACTTAAAATGTATGCAGTTATACACGTAATTTACATTATTAACATATAACTTTGTACTTTTAACACGTGATGACTTGTAGAGTTGTTATCCCATGATTGTTGATCTCTCTTTTTAGTTTGTGTATTATTTATTTTCCTGAAATGTTTGATTTTTACATGAACGTAGTATGTATAAACGTGAGATCTATGCTGAATTGTTTAATGATTTGATTAAATGAGACTATGAGTCACGATGCAAATGCGTGTTCAAAATTCGTTCTAGAACAACTCGCATATTATAATACATAGTAAACGTAGGTACTATTATAATATTACATAGTATAAGATTACTATATTTTTATTTTTCAATAAATAGTCAATCGGATATTGTGTTCTGATTATATTATTTCTCGTAATTACTTTATAATTACATATTTGTATTATAACCACGTTAAATAGATCAACCAAAACACGTCTTAAACAAAGATTAATTTAGTCTAAATCTTTTATTAAAACTTTTAAAAATAAATTTACATTAAACAATTTTTTGAAATAGCATTTGAAGTACGGTTATTATGCAAATACCACGACTAAATACATTTTCAATTATTAATTTAAAAACTGTTGATTTTGAAAAACTTTCAAGTTTTTAGTTGAAATAATAATTTGTATTTTATACACATTATTTGGGTTCTTCGGTAAAAACACTTAGGTATACTACTACTAAATACACAGTGTATTAACATAAATTAGCTGAAATCGAAATCGTGACTAAAATAAGTGATCGAGTTTAAAATGTAATATTTATATTCCGATATTCTTTTTGAGTGATTTATTTAAAATTATCTCAAAACTTTTTAATGTTTATAGGTAGTATGAAATTCAAGTATATCTCTAATATTTTTTAATTAGTAAGTAAGTTGGTGTATAAGTACCTATAGATTTTAATTTGAATGAATATACAATGGTATAAGTTCCGTTGTACTAAAATATGCATGAATTGGCCAAATGCAAATTGGAGACAATATTACCTTTTATTCAATTATGTATCATAAAATGATTTTAAATGTGTCAATTATTCAAGGGCTTAGTACATAGAAAATCAAAAATATCACTAGACTCGCATTGATAATTTATGACAGATACTATTGAAAAATTGTTTCTAAAGTTTAATGCCTCACACATTTTAAATAAATAGATTTTGATTTAAATTAGTAACACCAGCTCTAGACATTTGAAATACAAAATATGGAAAAAATGTAAATATTTATGAATAATTATGATCCATGGCAGGCATTTTTAAATTTGATGATTTAAACAAGTAATACGTAATATTTTTTATCATTATATTTTTTTAAGTTATTATTCTTTTAAATAACATCATACATTTTTTAAGTTTTATATTTCGAATCAGAATATTTTTTGGATTATTTCAATACATAAAAGTTTGTGCGATTAATTTATCAGTTATAAGTATATTTAAAATTCTGGCGAGTGGTGTGGTGTTAAGTAGAGATACTCCTCAAAATGTGGTCAATTACTAATTTCTATAACTTAAACTTAAAATACTTCTATTTTAATTCATAAAATACTCAACCAAATTTTATTTTTTAAGTAGCGAAATATTTTAAAATTTGAAATTAAAAAAGTATGTTGTTACACAAAAAAATAAAATGCTTAAAAAATTAAAGGTTTTTATTTCTACTGAAAATTATGTAAGAAAAATATTATTTTTTTTAATGTTTTATAAATTTTGAAATAGTAATTGTTTGATATTCATTTTGAATTCATTTCTATAGTTTTCAGAATCACCTTGTATATATTTAATACTACTCCTCCTCAAATTTATCATAATTTATATTGTATATCTCACAATATAAATTTTGAAAATCAAACCATGCTTATTTTGCGATAGTGGAAAATATTTTTATTTAAAATTACAATATAACAAAATAACACGTGAAATTTAAATTCTCCTATATTTTACACATTTACACTATATTTTAT